ATCACAAAATATATTTGCTTTGTACTATATTAAATAACTCCATCTAAAAGCTTAAATTGTGTTTTAACTATTTATTTATAATTTATGTTCAACACATTTGGCTTACTAGCACGTCAAATTCATTTCTCTATCAAAGTTTTGACATACATAATTTTCACAACCATGTGTCCGTGAGATTTGAACGCAAAGATTTAGCTAACCTAAATACCTTATTGAATCCAAGGCACAAATTTATTTACTTGTATTATTTATTCAACGTAGCGATGCACTTTGAAAAGTAATAAAAAAAAAGGCATGATTTATGTAGAATAACTTTTTTAAAATTGATCTCATGTCTTCAATGGACAGGATAAAAATTTTCCACTACTAACGTAAAAAGATAACCTTAATTATAGTTTTCTAAAATGATTATATATTTAAAGAATTATAATTAATGTTATCTTGTCATGTTAGCGATGAGACACTTTTATCCTAGTCACCGTGGACAAGAGATCGAGATTGATAACTCCTTTAATTCATTGAGGCAATTGATTGTGCGAGAAGAACTAAAAATGAAGACAATTAGGGAGATTACAGCCCCCCGGGGCATAGTCTAGTGATGCAAAGGATAGGAGTGAGGTTATCTCACGCATTGCTGGCAGCCGTAGTGTGGGGGTTCGATTCCTAAAACGTGGAATTGGACTCCTTTTAGGGGCAGTGTATAGGCAGCACTTGTTCCCTAACATGTTGAGGCAAATCCTGCGATTTACCTCCCTCACAAAGCTTTAGGGGAGGACGATGGGGGCCCTCAAGGTTGGGGTCCAACCTTTTTTTTTTTTTTTTTTTTTTAATTAGGGAGACTACAAATTTAGAAGCCCTAGTCAACACGCAAACTCAGAGAGTCAAGTTGGGTTAGTTTGGAGTCAAACGTGGGGCTGGATTTTGATATTTTATTGAAAATCAAACAAAGTGCCGAGTGATCAGCAAAGTGGAGCATTCATGTCTTGTCTTGTTTGATTTTACTTTTTCATGTTTTTACTAATTAATTTATTTCCTTTCAACAATTAGTCAAACCACTTTTTATTGTAAAAGAAAAATGTAACATTAGTGTTAGACTACAAAATTTTTTTGGCGTTAGATTAGGTGCATTATATTTGTGTTTTGTTTGGTAGTATTTAGTAAACATTATCAAGAAACATAAATTAAAATTTCGTTATCTGTCAAATTCAATTCAATATATTGCCAAACGTATTGTTAGTGGTTGAGTGACAATATAGGAGAAGAGAGCAAAATGAACAATGAGGGCATTAACAAGAGTAATGCTGCAATTTGATAAATTTTGTTTGCGTTTTCATAATATATATGTGCCACCAAGTAGAGGTAAAGAGAAGGAAGATTTAGATTGAGAAGTCAAGATAGCTTAGGGTCCATTTGACAAAATTTTTGAATAGCTTAGGGTCCATTTGACAAAATTTTTGAAAAGTCAAAAACTATTTTTTAGATTGAGAAGCTATTTTTGAATATGTTTAAATAATTTTTTAAAAATACTTTTTCTGACTTAAAAAGCTTTTAGACAAATTTAACTTTTTTACAAGAAACAAAAGTAAAAGCAAATGTCGAATCAAATGGATTCTTAGTAGACTTATAGATTCGAATTAGTAGAAAATATTAGGGCCTATTTGATTGCAAAGATGAAATTTGAGTGAAAAGAAAATAAATTCCAGGAAACTGAATTGCTTAGAAATTATTTTCTTGGGAATTATAAATTATTGTGTTTGATTGGTATAATTTTTTACGTGGAAAAATGTTGAAATAAAAATATTTTTTTGAGTTAATTTGACTTTGTTTTATATGAAAATTATCAATTAAAGTGATACATTGTATTGGTATTGGGGATGAAATTTGTTTTCATTGCCCAAAAAAATTAAGAAAATCATTTATCTTTTGGTGTTCGTTTGACTTTTCCAATTAAAAGAAAATATTTTTTACAATAATTCTTAGAAGTTGTTTCCACTGCCAACCAAAAATAAAAAATAAAAAACTGGAATTTACTTGCCCACCATTCCTTCAAAGGACCATGCTAGAAGTACAAAACCAACTACAAAAAATTTGAAAAACTCGACACTTGGCGGCCCCCTGTTGGAGGGGTGGTTGGCTCCACAGTCTCCCCTCCAACAGGGGGCCGCCAAGTGTCGAGTTTGTCAAACTTTTAGTAGATTATTTTGTACACGTATATTAATCCTCCTTCAAATCAAGGAAATTAGGTGCGTGAGAGGGCAAGAAAGAATTCACTTTCCATGGAAATTCTTTACGATCAAACACTCACAATTGGCCAAGATGGAAATTAATTTTCATTTTCCATGGAAAGTGATGTCTATCAAATGGAGCCTTAGACTAAAATTATTATAGTTTTTTTTTTTTGTATGATTTTCTAATATCTAGTTTTTTAAATTTCTTAATTGACATAGAAATTAACTGAATTGAGGCAAGGAGAAAAAAAATATAGTCAACCTCAAATTATTGGACCATTAAGAATCGTGTTACAAACAATGTTTGTAAAACTGGATCGGACCTACCGGTTCAACCGGTAAAATTGGGAATCGGACCAAAATCCGTTCCGGTTATATTAAATTAACCGATTATATAATAAATGGTCAAATAATCGGAAACTCAGTCAAATAAACCAAAAATCGGGAACCAGTTACGGTTTTGGACCAGTTTTCACAACTTTTTTTTTTTAATAAAAAAAATTATATAATAAAAAGGTTACCTTAAAGATGGAAACCCATATACTCACTTCTTCACCTATGGAGCTCTTTTATAACTATTTCTTGAATCCCATAGTTGATAAACTTCCAATGTGAGATTGACAAAATTTAATAAAACACACTTTCAATACACTTTCAATATGGAATTGAAAAACTTCAATAAAGAACACTTTTTTTTTTTCAATATTATTTATGGCTACATGGTGTATGATTACACAATTAAATTACTCAATTTTTGTAGATTGATAAACATTTTTTTAATCTTACAAATTATTTAGTAAAATTGAAATGAGTTTTTAAGTGATTTAAAAATAAAAAATATTAAAATTTATATTAAAAACATACATTTGACATATTAGTATTTATTTTGAATTGATGGTGTAAAAATTTAATTATATATTGTTGTGAAAATAAAATTTAAATGTTTATAAATATTTATTTATCACCTCCGGTTCGACCCCTATTCGACACCGATTGAACCTTTTGACTTTCGACCCTTTCTGTTTATCGGGTCGATGCTCGGACCACGTTTTAAAACATTGGTTACAAACGCTTCAAAAGAATTTTCATGTCTAATTTTTTGACAAGGGGGAAAAAAAAGTCAGCAAGAATTGAAACATATTATTTGGGAACAACTTCAAGGAGAAAATCAATTGTAAACAAAATTTTAACCAAGATATGAACAAAATTTAATATACATTTATGACGTTTGAAAATGCATAAAAAAAATAGCTCAAACTATTGAAACATTTGTACGAGGGTAAAAGGAAACAGGAAATCTTTCTAAAATATATTAAAAATTTTATTTATAATTTATTTCATAAATAAGTATTAAACATACCTCAATTACTTTTACAAATAACGATTCTCGCAACTAATCATAATTATTTATTATTATTATTATTTTTTATGACGGGAGAACCTGCAATCGCTACTCTTCGGATGCACACTGAGTAAACTCTTGGACTGACGCGATAGCCTGCAAACCACGCCAACCAAGTATACCACACTAGGCAAATCCGGTACGACCGACTCGACCGAGAAAGTGTTGGTAGGAGGAATCGAATTCCTCCACGCTTACCTACTCCTTCAACTCGACAACTTCATGAGGGTTAACTAATCATAATTGTTATGACAACAAGACGGTTGACCTCGTCTAAAATGTTGAACTAACAAATCCTTTGACTTGCTTAGCCATATTTTTCAATTTCTTTTATATTCATACGCCTTTTTCGATTTATTTATTTTTGTCATTTTTTATTTACTATGAAATATGGACATCTTTTGTTTTTAATTTCTTTACCTATTTGTTCAAACCGAACAGCTCTAAGGGATTGTTTGATAAGACTTTTAATTAAAAATTTAATAGATTTTGATATTAATTAAATGTATTGTTAAAAAGTTGATAAATATTATGGTACCCAATAAATATGTGATTACAGTTAATTATTGACTAAGAACTCAACTTTTAAACTTCATGAAACAAGCACAGAAAAATGAAGACTTGAGTATAGATTCTTATTTTCTTAGTTTGTTAGTTCATGAACATCACTTCCATTGGACTTAAAAGAGACTTAAAAGTTCAACATTTAAATTATTCGTCTAATTTTTTTTTTAAACGTACAAAAGATGCGCACTCACATGGTAACCACTTTGTTCGGCGGATAAATCTACTTGTACATAATTTTTTGGAAAGTTCTACTTGTACATAATTATTGTACATAATAGTGTCTATAATGTGATGTGGCAATCATCCGATTATTGATGTGCAAATATGAAATTTGAATTAAAGGTTGGATTCAGTATTACGTGTAATTATGGATATCATTATATAGACAATTATATACATATAATACTTTCCTAATTTTTTGTACATAAAAATGTCCATAAAGATGTCCACACCATCACATGGGGTGGAGCCTTTAATAAAAAAAAAAAAAAAAAGGTTGAACCCCAACCTTAGGGGCCCCCACCTACCCTATCCTGGGCCATCGTGGAGGAGGTAAATCGCAGAATGTGCCTCCCAGGAGCCAGGGTGGAGAGCATATGGATAGGCCAAGGCTACTAACCCATATGGTAACTCTCGCTTGCAACAAAGCCAATTCCACCTTGTAGGGAATCGAACTCTGCACACTGCCGTGCTAAACCCTATCCGCCTTCCCCTTTGTCACTGGGAGATATGCCCTGAAGACAGGGTGGAGCCTTTAATGTTTGTATATAAAGGTGTTCACACTCTCGAAGCATAACCCTTGTCGGGTACATGTCATTGTAATACTTCTCTTGCGCTTGCACACAAATCCCCATCCCCCCTTTTTTTGCTCTCTGTCTCTAATATTCTTCATGCCTTCCCTCCACTCAATTCCTCCACCACACCTCACAGAACCACCGCTTGTTAAGGTGGGCTGCGATTTCGTGATATTATCTCTTGATCAGGTTCTGTGAAAAAATCAAAGATGGCTTATGCTGCGGTAATATATCTCAGTCGGATTCTGGAGCAGATGTCAAATCCTCATCTACAACAACATCAGACTCCTCTTCAGGACCAACAAATTAAATCTCTCCAGGAGAAGTTGAATTTCACACTAGATTTTCTGGATGATTCTTTGCATAGAAGGAGCGAGGAAATACAAATTTTGGAGAGGAAAATTCGAGATGCAGCGTGCGAAGCTGCAGATATCTTCGAATTATATATATCAAAGAATTTTGGTCAGGAAGATTTACAAGAAAGACAAATCAGAGACCAAACTTTTTGTGAAAAATATGAGATAGTAGCAGATGAAATTGATTCCATTAAGACAAAAGCAGCTAAGCTTACGGAATTGTGGGGCGCAACAGATCTGTACCAGAGCCAGAGGACTTCTTTTCCAACCGGTCCATCGAGACTTGCTTCAAGCGGCAGGAATGATATGGTCGGGTTTCGTGAAGATGTGAATCAAATAATTGATCGACTTACTGGAAATCAAGTTACTCTCCAAGTCATCTCCGTAACTGGCATGGGAGGTATTGGCAAGACCACACTTGCTAGAAATGTTTACAATGATACACGTATTAAAGACCATTTTTACACTCGTGCCTGGGTATCAATTTCTCAAGAATATCGTGAGCAAGAAGTTTTGCTGAACCTTCTGGATTCCATGGAACTGCTCAGTGCTAAAATGCGTCAAGAGAACAGTACTGCAAAATTAAAAGATTATCTACATAAAAGTTTAATAGGTATGATGTATCTTGTTGTCCTGGATGATGTTTGGACTAAAGAGGCTTGGGGTTCTTTGAGAAGGATATTTCCAGAAGAACGGAATGGAAGCCGGATCATGTTGACAACACGCCTGTCGAGTGTGATTGACTCCCCTCACTCTCCCCATCGTATGCAATTTCTAAATGAGACTGACAGTTGGAATCTACTTTGTCGGAACGTGTTTGGGGAATATTCTTGCCCTCTTGAACTGGAGGAAGCTGGAAAGGAGATTGCTGAGAATTGCAAAGGACTTCCACTTTCCCTTGTGGTGATTGGCGGCCACCTTTCCAAAGCCAACAAGACGAAAGATCACTGGGAATATGTTGCACAAAATGTCAAGTCAGTTATAAATTCAACAGATGCAAACTGCACAGAAATACTATCTTTAAGTTACGATTACTTGCCTCATTATCTCAGAGCATGCTTTCTCTATATGGGAGTTTTTCCAGAAGATGATGAAATCCGTGTCTCCAAACTCAACAAGTTATGGGTTGCAGAGGGATTTCTAAAACCAGTCAGAGGTAAAACATTGGAAGAAGTGGCAGAGGAATGTTTGGGAGATCTAATTTCCAGAAATCTTATTATGATTGGTAAGAAGAGTCCTGTAGGAAAGATAAAAACCTGTGGCATCCATGATATGTTAAGGGACCTATGCTTAAAGAAAGCTCAGGACGAGAAGTTCATTCATGTCAGAGATAAAGATGACATTTTTGCTGAAAGCATAAAGTATTCACATCGCCTGTGTATTCATCCAGATATTCTTCACGAGGAATTCAAATGTTACCAGTCCATGGGATCCTTGCCATCAGTCCATTCTATTTTAATTTCCAGTTTTCCAGAATTTTCATTTTCTGAAGGCTACCCTAAAGCCCTAGACGAAAGCCAGAATAATGAATTATTTGATGGAAAACTTTTTCCACTGCTCAGGGTATTGGATCTTAAAGAACATGTAGAGGGTTTCCCATTTGGAGAAATAAAATTAGTTCATTCAAGGTACCTTGCTTTCCCCTGTTATGGGGAAGTTTTCTTGCCTAAAACATTACCTGATTTTCTTGGGCATCTACAGACCTTAATTGTAGCTAATAACGATGTACAATTACCAGAGGAGATATGGAGGATGACACAATTAAGGCATCTCCTGTTCGGGAAGTGTTATTTGCCATGCCCTACTAGATCACCAATAGCTGGGGAGAATTTTGTTCTGGAAAACCTTTTAACACTTTCGAAAGTGAGTAGTTCCAGCTGCACCAAGGAGATCTTTGAAAGAGTTCCAAATCTAAACAAGTTAGGAATTTTGAATGGCAAGTACGATACGATTTCTCTAGGTATTCTGGTTAATCTTCCTCGACTTGAGACCTTGAAAATTAGAAGTGTAGATGAACGTGTTAGAGTTCCTATAAATTTTATTTTCCCGCCAAATATCAAAAAGTTAACTTTAAAGAGTTGCAAAATTGGTTGGAAACACATGACTGTTGTTGGTTCAATGCCCAACCTTGAAGTTCTCAAACTGCTAGAGAATACCTGGCATGGATGGGAGTCAGAATGGGAGCCAACCGAAGGAGAATTTTGCAAACTAAAATTTCTGCTACTTAGAACTTATTTTCTAGAGCAATGGAGAGCCAATAACACTAACTTCACAAGCCTTGAGTGCCTAATGCTTAGGGGCTGTTTCAGACTAAAGGAGATCCCTCGTAGTATTGGGGATATACTAACTCTTCAAATCATTGACTTGGATGATGCTAGCCCTTCAGCTGTGACTTCGGCAAAGCAGATACAAGAAGAACAAGAGGAGTTTGGAAATGATATTCAAGTTCGTGTCAAGTTCAACCGTCCACAGGTAAAAGTGATTCCTTGAGCAGTACTTACTGTTGCTTGTAACGGATCATTTCTCTATCTCAAGAATATCTACAGATCTTTATAATGAAATTTTAGCAAGCATGACCATTTTTTGTTCATTCTTGCTACTTTAATGGGATTTTGTAAATTTATTATCATACCGAAGTTCGAGAAGTCCATATCTTTTTCATATTCTCCATAAATATATCCAAAAGGTTCCCTAGCATGCTCCATCGCCCTTGAACAGAAAGGTGATGCCTCCGCTCTGACCTCATAACTCAGCAACTGCTGGCTTCAGCAAGCATGACTTGAACTGCAGTTTCTATATGATAATTTCACCACATTTTAGTTACAGAAATATAAAAGCAAGACACAAATCCTCTCTTAGAAACCAAATTTGAAAGAAAAATGTGTCTTTTTGCATAATGAAATAGTTATTGCAAGTGAGTAATTACGTGGGACAAATTTAATTGAGTAGAACTAGTATATAGAAACTTTTATGTAAACTTCATTGTTAATTTCTTCCAATTGCAACAGAGCGAGGATTTGGATGCTGAATTAATAGCTAATCTTGAGTCAAATGACAACAAATTGCAATTCAACGCCTGTTCTCGGCTAAGCAGAGGTAATCAATTAATTTACTTTTCATGAAGCCAATTCATTTGATATAAATGTTATTACTGTTTTGCTTTTTTCTTTTATATCTCTGATTCCATCTGCTTTCAATTAATTTGTTTCCAAAGGCATGAATCCACCATCGAAGGGATTAATATCTAGAATTGTTCCTCGACTCCTCAAGTTTCTTGATAGAGATGATTACCCGCAGCTTCAGGTTTAAATTTGTGCTTCTAATTGCTTCTCTTGTTTATCTCATGTGTTTCAATTGCTAAATAAATTGAGCTATTCATTTTCTTAGCTCGCGGCAGTGGGGGCTATAGGAGATATTTCATTTCGTTCATCTAAGAACATCCTGATTGACCAGGGCGCAGTTCCCATTATGGTGAGCCTTCTTAGTTCTCCCTGGGTTGAACTTCGCAAAAAGGTAGGTGTTATGTTGTGTTGTGATTTTATCGCAAGTGTAAGATGTCAGTCAAATAAGTAATAAAGTGGTCTTAAGAATCTTTTCACGAGGACCGCTTGATTAAAATAATGAAAAATGTAACAAATAGACTATTTACGGTTCTAAAAGGATTCACGAGTTCGCCATTATTATCTTTCTAATATCAATTACCAAATCCCTGCAATTGTTAATTATGCTTGCTTGGTCGAATTCTTCTAAAGCAATTTATTTCCTCCTTTCAAGTTCAAATCAATTCTATTGAATTAAGTAAACTCATGTCTCTACGTAATTCCCAATGTGCTTTAATCAAAAGCATTCAATCATCAAAGAATTTAATTAATAATACACAGTTAGTAAAAGTGTATCTCTCCTATCTGAATTTTGAATTTTATTACATGATCTAAAAGAATAACCCATCTTTCGATTCCTTTCTGTTCATAAATCATTGAATCGGTGATCAATGTAATTCAAAGTCGTACAAAAGAAATAAGAAGAAAACACTAAGATCATTTAAAAATCAACACATGATAACTAAAATTAAGATTTAAAATTTGGTTACAAAATTTATTGTAAGTATTAATTTAATTACACATCATGGAAGAAGAGACATACAAGAAAGAAATAAAGTAAGTTTGAAAACTTTTCACCAAGAATTGTCTTCTTCCACACCAAATCTTGAAAACCTATTTTTCCCTTTAACCTTTCTCTAATTTTTGGCTTTAGGAACATTGTTTCCCTTATTTTTGAAAATAAAAATAAAAATAAAAAAATAAGGTCCTTATATAATGGTAAAAATGCTTTGAGAATTGTGCCTCTAAAAGACAAAACGGATCAAGAAAAGTAGAAACAGCAAAAACTTTGTCCAATCGGACTAGTTCTAACAACAATGTAACCATTTTTGAAGCTTTCATTATTATTTTTCACTTTTCAACATTAAATTGTAAACCAAGTTTTTGAACTTTTAGACCTTTTCATTTTGATCTTCCAACTTTTTATCTCATCAATTTTGGTCCTTAATTTCACAATTTAACATGTCCAAGTTAGTCCCTTAATTTTCGTATGTTGCACTTTGGTCTCTATATCAACATTTTTGTCTGATTTTGATCCTTTTCACTCCAATTCTTCAATATTTGATCTCACAATTTTCAAAAGCTTCCAGATTGTTTCCAGACCTCAACAAACTTCCGTAAGTAGTCTTTCTCAAGTTCCAGAAGTGTGCAAATTAGTCTCCAAACGTCATATAAGTTGAAATTCACTTTAGAAACCTGCAACATTCCTTCTATTTCTCTTTTAATGCTCATTATTGATCCTATGAGCAATCCGGTTAATCTTCATTTGCTCCAAATCAACTATAAATTAGCTAAAAACCTTCCTTTTTTTGTACGAATGCTTTCTAATTGGTTTTTACCTACAATTATATCATATCTTCACTAAATTATGTAGGAATTCACTCAAATATAAATTACGTTTCAAGTTTAAGTATCACGTATAAGGGTGCATAAACACCTTATCACTTTGTAAATGTTGAAGGATTACAATCAAATCAAGAATCATACAAAATACACACCCGCACCAAAAAAGAATAAAAACCAATATGCTGGAGTAATGCTATGGATCACCATTTATGATCATCAGTGAATCTAGACTATAGATAACATTAAATTATAGGTTCAATTAAATGGGTCATGTAGACCGATGATGAACACTATTCAACACATAGCATTATTCCATGTGTTGACATAACGTCCACAGAGCTGGAAGATGAACTCAATCTGCACTATAGTACTATCGCTACAGTTTACAAGTTAATGACACATAGAAGAGATACGCTCAGTGGGAAACTCCACTCGTAATCTGGAATCTCTTTCCAAATTGAAGCAATTTCATATTAGCTCAAGAAAAAGTACCTGAAACAAAAAGAAAAAGCTCTCTGAATATGAAGTGGAGAAAACCAGTCTCTGAATCTGAAGTGGAGAAAACCAGAGGAATGCAAATTTATATAAATTGATTAAAACCTAACCTTCCCAACTAGAGTTGAAACAGTGACGGCCAACACCCATGTGTCAAGTTGCAGATCCGGGATGAAAAACTGTCTTTTAAGTAGTGCCAAAAATGACATTGTTCCATGGCTGCTTTTAAGTTTTCTTCAGTCGAGTAGGGGCAATTTCTTTTAACAATAAATGACATAACAGCATCCCTATGTTAGGGATATGCTCGTCCAACTTTTTACAAATTGATAAAGACTAATAAGAACTTTGAATTTTATATTGTGGCTGCTTTTGACTCTATGTCCAACTTTTTAATTTAGGCACTTGAGGTGTTGGGAAATATTGCCCGTAATTCAGCAAATTCTCGTGACCTTATCCTTAGTTATGGAGTGTTAATGCACTTATTGGCACAATTTAATGATAAAACAAATCTAACCATCATGAGAAAAGCAACGCGGACATTGTCAGATCTTTGTACGGGACGGCCTCAGTCAGAGCAGGTTTGTCTTCTAATTGGTTTTTTGTTCGGTTTTAAAGAATATCAATAATGCTGGACCTTTATATATTTAACCAATTCCTTCTGAATATTACTGAGCAGGTGAAATCTGCCATCCTACCTCTTTCTCAGCTGATTCATGAACACGATGAAACGGTCGTTGAGAATGCATGCAGCGCACTATTCAATCTAACTTGTGGGAAAAAGGATATAAAACAAGCTGTGATTGATGCTGGTGTTTTCCCTCGTTTGTTTGAGCTTCTAAAGTTAGTGAAAAAATACCATTTGATACAGTTCCCCCCCTTTTTGTTAAAGTTTTTGCTTTGCTTTTGCTTATTGAACTTCATACCGTGCTTATTTGGTTTAGTGGTTTGCAGATCACATAATTCGGCTTATGCCCTGCAAACCATTGATAATATTATTTCATACGTAGATGATACCCAGATTCAGGTATCAGCTGACTCTCTTGCTTAACCTTAATTAGAAAACTTCCTTTGGAGCACATTAATTTGTTATGTGATATGTTCACCTTTCCAATGGTAGTCCATAAAATGTCTACTGTAATTCACAACCAACTCTTGTTTACTTGTTTCATATAAAAGATGTATATGGTAGGCTATTTTGTCTTTTAGCAGTTCCGATGATCTACATTCTTAGCAGTCATTGTGTATTGCTTGATCATTCATGGTTCAGATATATTCATTTTGCACATACAGTCTTTGTTGCTTCTATTGCTAAATAATCATTAGAAGAACGGCTTCAGTACTTATTGTTTTTGTCATATTCATGATCCATATATGTTCAGTTTTATTGCAATGCTTATATACGTTTGAAGCGCATAGCATCACTAGGAATCCAAAAAATGTACAAAATTCAAAAGTTACTATTTGAAACTCATTAGTTGAATTTGCAAATGCCAAGTCTGTGGCTTCAAGTATCATCTTTGACCAATTTTTAACCCTTATAATCTTTGACCAATTTTTAAGAGCTCTAATAAGAAGTTCAATGCTAACCCTGTACTTAAAGACGTCAAGCTGTGTTTACCTTTTTTTTCAAACTTGCTTCTATTGAATGATTTCCAGGTAATCATTGATGATGGGGCTCTTTGTTGCCTGTGTGAAATGTTGACATCACTCAGTATAATTGTCCCGGAGTCCACTTGTTATATCATTTCAAATATCATTGGACGGACTAAGGATCATATTCAGGTATGTAAATTACTATAGAATAGTTTTTGCCTTTGTGGTATTACTCTATGCATTCATAGTTAATGCTTTTAGATAAGTATCAATTGGAGAAGGAGGAGGAATGATGTTAGAGGAAAGAAGTTTTTAGTTTCCACCTGTCAATTATTGTTTTGAGCATCAAGATTGATGATTTTTCTCTTGCCGTCCTTCAAATTTTTTTCTCATTTTAGTAACTCTGTTTTGATGAATTTGACATTTGTTCTGTTCTTGTTTGTAATTTGAAGTCTTCCATTAAATCCGTTTATCTTATAAAATTAAGATGCCGAGGAGATGCCATCTTATTACTGTTGGAATTTAAGAGTATATAAGATGATTAAAATGTGTGAACTGGAAAAAATCTTCAATAAGTGCATCGATTGGGTGCAACTCTTCAAGTGCATAACAAAGAGTCATGACCTTTGATAAAGGTGCGATCTAGACCATCAATCTTGAAATTGTGATATCTAAGAGTTAAAATTAATTGTGCCAAGAGATATGACCATTCGAAGAGATATATGAAAGTCTATAAATTGAAGTATTGGACCCTCTTAATTCCATTTTCTTCAATTCATTTCTAATTCTTTCCTTATCCAAATTATGTCAAGATATTTTTCTAATTATTTTTTGAGTTTCGTGTTCAATATAAAGTATTCTATATCTTCCATTCTAGAAGAGTATAGTCAAGTGTTGGTTCACCCGACAAAATATATTTTACTATATTAATTTTAAAAGAAACATTGTATCTTAGAAGACAAACGTTCATTTGATCCTATTAGCACCAGTGCAAAGGGAGAAATCCGTCTTAAGGAGATTTGCATTCGCATGTCTTGCTTTATTTTATTTCCTTCTAATTTCTGCTATTTTTTAAAATTTCAGTGAGTCGTCATTTTACTTTTTTTTTCATGTGGTAAGTCAAAATATTATTCGATAATTTGGATGTCAATAGCAACTTAAATCATGCATGTGAATATAATTATGCACCAATTTATCGAATAATCTTAAGATGGATTTTCATGTTAATCTATATACTGATGGTCAAAACCAGTTTATGTGGATCCACCGTTTTAGTTTGTGTTTGCTTTTTACTATGTTATTCGTGGACTAATATTTCATATTACTTGATTACTTTATTATGCATTATTGGGTTTAGAGAAAGTGAACGTGTTAATCATATAGTGTGCACAACTCCTTTAAAATTATTCGTGCACTAATATTTCATATTACTTGATTACTTTATTATGCATTATTGGGTTTAGAGAAAGTGAATGTGGGTGTTTTGGATTATGTGGCATAATTTTAAAGGAGTTGTGCACACTATATGATTAATTTCATATGTATCCTAAAGTTGTGGGATAGCATTTCTCCGTATTATTGTGTGTTTCACACATTTTTTTGACTCATCCAGCGTGGTGTAACTCATGATCTCAATTTTGGTCTATGTGATGAATGTGATCATATATGTATGCCCAATTAAACTTGGGTGAGGCTGCATTTTATTTTTTTTTAAGCTGACTTTCCACTTTTATTTTGTGAATTGAAATTCTTAAATATGATAATGAATGGGCTTTTATATGAAATTGACATTCCTAGTCATTTCATATGCTCACTAAACGTAGAATAAAATTGTTTATGAGGTAGATAAACATAATTATCGATATGATCGAACTTTATATGCATACTTAGATGAATATTATATTGCTAAGTTGAGTCTTATCCAGAATTGTGGAGGCATGATTGTTATTTGTATAATATTATCAATTAAAGTTTGAACGCACCCCTGAACTTTAGGGTAGCATTGCTTCATTCGAATTAGAATTTGGAATATTTAAAATGATAAATTGCCCTGTAGTGAATACATTTTTAAAATTAAGATGTGCTGTGCAATGTTGAAAATTGGATATTCAACGCAAGAATTCAAAATCGACTAATAATTTTGTTTTACTATTGAGAGTGGAGTTGTTTCTTGAAAATCCTCAATACAATGTGAAATTGAAAGAAAATAGAGCTTTCAATAAAATTAGAAGGAAGCACGATGCCTTTAAAGATTTTGGAAGAATTTTCTAATTTGTGACAATTTGTGCTTGCCATATCATTTGTTTGAGATAGCTAGCTACCAATATGCTGGCATAGAATGTCGTGTATAATGGTAAGTTTTGATATATAAACCGTAGGCATAATATCATTTGGCAGTTACTCTTGAATGGAATAATACCGATTGTTTTACCGGAAAATAAACTCCCGAATTCATTTATAAAGAGGTTATCTAGAGAGTGAATAATTTGCGCATCGAGGAAAAGGGGTATAAAGGCTACATTAGTGTTCAGTTTAATGGAAACCTAACTTGGCGATGGGAGGTCCCATGGACTAGGTTCAATAGGAAAACTAGCTATGATTGACTCGATGAAAAGCATTTCGAAGATTTAACTCCTTCCCATTTCTATGATGCAAATAAGTGTTGCCTACCAAATATTGGTTAGGATAATTCATGATTTTAATGATGATTGTATCTTGCAAACAGTACAAGTGAAGTATTATAATGTACTCTAATATCACCTATGTGAGTGTGAACTTGGCTAGTTCCATGAGGATTTTACTTGTCCAAATTCTTTAACGAACTTGTAGAACCAAGAAGGTTTAGGACCAAAATAATGAACACAATAGAGAATCAAAGTTTGATATGAGATATAATTTGTTCGATCTATTGTTTAGACTTACAATAATGGTCAAAACATTGCATTTACTTATTAGTCAAGTGAGTTCGATAGATTTTTACTAGGGTAGATTCAAAGCAAAAGTTACTGATCCTAATGTGATATATTTCAGGTACACTTTTCTTCATCTTTCTTGTTCTGAGTTGATTTCTTCCATTCATGTGGGGGACTGACTGGTTGGAATTTAAAGGTATATAAAAAGATAAAAATGTGTAAATTGAAAAAAATCTCCAATAAGTGCATCGTTTGGGTGAGACTCTTCAAGTGCCACATATGCATAACAAGGAGTAATGACCTTTGATAAAGATACAACCTAGACCACCAATCTTGAAATGGTGAGATTTAATGGTTAAATAATTTGTGCAAAAAGATGTGACCATTCGAAGAAATACATGAAATCTATAAATTGGATCCTCTTAATTTCATTTTCTTCAATCCGAATCTATTTCAAATAATTCATTTCTAATTCTTTCCTCCAAATTATATCAAATTAATTTTCTAATTAATTTTTGAGTTTTCTGTTCGATATTGAGTATTCAATATCTTCCATTTTAGAAGAATATACTAAAGTGTTCATTCGTCCGATAATTATTATTATGCTATATTAATTTTTTTTTTATGATCATGGGTGTTTAAGCCAGTTTATACACATCTCGACTAATCTCAAGGGGCCCTGAAGTTTACAGCTGGGTACTCACTTTAGTGGCTCTAAGGGAACTTGAACTAGTGACCATCGGGGAGTAAACCCAATACTTGACCACTGAGGTACCCCTCAGAATTAATATTAATAGGGTGAGAGAGGCTTGAACTCTCGACCTCAGTATCACTCTTTTGCATTATGCTATATTAGTTTTGAAAGAACTATTTTATATTGGGAGATAGACATTCATTTGATCCTATTAGCACCAGTGTAGGGGACGAAATTCATTTTAATGAGATTTCCATAGCCATGCCTCGCTTTATTTTATCTTCTTCAAATTTCTGCATTTTCCTAAATGTTAGTAAATTTTCATTTTAATTATTTTTCATGCGCCTATCTTGATTTTGGTAAGGCAAAATATTATTCGATAATTTGCATGTCAATAGCAAACACAATCATGCATGTATTATAGTGAGTGGAATATAATGCACCAATTTATCCAACAAATACACAGGCTGTGATTGAGGCTGGTATTATTTCACATCTTGTCCCACTGCTTCAAGATGCTGATTTTTTTAATGTTGCTGTTGAGGTTATCTATAATGCCACGACAAGGGAACTAATGAGCAAATCAAGTAAATTCTTCATAGCTATTGTCATATTCTCGTAGCTTATTGTGCATTTAGTTTGAGTATTAATACCTCATCTTTGTGGCAGGTTCCTGGTGCACGAGGGTTGTATAGAGCCAATGTGCGAGCTTCTAGTTAATCCCAAAGAAGCACATGTCATAAAAATCTGCTTGGAAGGCCTAGAGAACATTTTGAAGGTTGGAGAAGTTGAGAAGAACCAAGGTAACACTGAAGATGTGAATGTCTTTGCTCAGATGATTGTTGATGCTGGGGGTCTACAGAAGATTAAGCATCTCCAGACACATGACAAAAGTAAAATATGCGAAAAGGCCAAGAAGATACTTGAAACATATTGGTAGGAAGAGGACGATGAGTGATGCAGGACATATTGGGAAAAATGTACTAGTAGAGGGAAAATATCATAATTTCGGATTGGGTCCATAAGATCATTCTGAAAAGAGAACGATGCGAGGAACATGAATTTTTGGCCATTCGAGTTCGTTTAGGACTCGAAAAATGAATTTTTAAAGTTTTGGCGCTATATTTGTGATTTCTTTTATTTTTTGTTTTTTTATTATTATTATTTTTTTTCCAATTTTAGTTTGTCTAAACTTTGTTTTCATTACTTTTAGTTGTTTTTTTCATGTAAACCCTTATAAATAAGGGTTAGTTCATTTGTTTTTCATTATAAAAAATTTGGTGGATTTCGAATTTCATATTCTTAAGGACTTCGCTTGAATTCCTTTTTTGCGCTGCATCAAAGAATAGCTGTTTTCTGGTCATGCTCCACAATGTGGAGTTATTTGTTGCGAAGTAACTGATCTTTTCTTTCGTTTTCTGCCATAAATTTGAAGGCATGTTTGGTACACGCTAATGGATTGGAGCACACGACTCAATGGATAACATTTTGAACTCTTTTTTATTTTTTAAAAACATCTGCCCCCCAAAATCTGGACATGGTCTTCAAGTGATCCATCAAGGCGAAAGAAATGTTCAAGCTACAATAGGAAAATATTTAGCGAGTGTTTTTATGAATTTGGAGTCAATAACATCTCATGTAAATTTACCCATGAAACATTCATTTGGAAAAAATTTCGTCCAATTGATACAAACCGTTTGAACTTTGGAAAAGGACAAAGATAAGCTAAACAATTTAGAATCGAAGATATTAACAAAGCACTTGAAAAACAAATGGTGGACATGAAATGTAGATATAATTACGTGGTACTTTTCAAGAATAAGGGGTGGGGAATTTTATTTGGAATTACACTAATCGTACAAGAATCAAACCGAATAGCTGTTCTAGTTTGAAGCCTAAATAACGTGATGGAACATCTAATAGATAATATCACATAAAATAAGAAAATCTAAAAATGATAAAATCATATCTAATATGAGCTAAGTGGTCTGTATAAGAGAGTAGTGGATCAACTTATTATTTAAACAGTGGACTTTACATTGAATGGACCGTGAGGTGGACTTTCTGATTTTCTAATATTATTTTGACTTTTTTTAGCTTATTAGTACGTTTTCAATAGAAATTTATTGATAAAAACATTATATAATATAAACATCTTAAATAATATTTTAAATTTGATTATACCAATACCAATTGGGATAGTCGGGCGATGGCCATGTTCTCGTCCTCACCAGGAGACAAATTGTTGGCGTGAGTTGTCAATTAGAAAGAAATCAATGGAGATTGAGGCCATTTAGGATGGACCTTAAATGGAAAATCCTTTCCTTCAAGAGCTATCCAAAATTGGGCCTTGTTGGAGTAACAAGAGGGCTGACTGCCCCCTGACAGAACCCCACAAATAAGGGGGGCGGCCACTTTTTTTGGTACGGGACCCACCCCTATTGGTGGGGTTCTCTCCCCCCCCCTCCCCCCCGGTTACTCTAGCAAATTTCTCCAAATTTATAGCCATGAAATCTCTACAAGCGAGAATAAGGTTAACATTCTGCCTATATATTCTTGTATTGAATCATTGTAAATCAGAAAAATCAATGAACACAAAAGACAATTTTCAGACACAAATATCTTGCCCTAACCCCGTAAGATTGCCACTTCAAGTGATTTAAACATATAAATGATTTTTTCGTAAATATAAACAGTAGTAATTAGGTTCTGCTTCTTTTTCTCTCTCTTTTTTTTTTTCCAATATTTCTGTAATTACTTTAAACTCTCACTAAAACAATATCATATTGCATGATTTACTTTTTCTCATTATATACTATCATTAGTTTTTAATTAATTTTAAAATTCGTAAAAGTTTTTGCCTAATTTTCTAGGATGTAATCTCATCTTTCCTGATTTGAGCGAGGATTACATACTAATTTGGAAAAAAAAAAGTGTTATTATTAAAAATTATTGATTAAGCTTATTTTATTCTTAAAACAAAACTCTTTTTACAATCATCTTCATATATTATATACTTCGTGTCGTAGTTCATTCTGAAATTGCTCAATTTCTCACCATCTTCATAGGCTCATGTCTTTAACTCAGAATGACCTTGTTTTTGTTAATCACTATAAATTTCAATTTTTAGTATGTGTACCAATTTTCAATTAATTAACACTAGCCATGTTAGGATGATCAGTGAATAAATTAGTTTTCACTCATTCATATAAGTTCTAGTTCAATGCACCAAACATGATCTAATCGACTTTTAATTCTCCAATCAAAATCATTTGATTATTCAATTAATTAATTATTACGTCAACATTATTATAAACAAACTGTCGAATGTTGAAAGGAATTAATAGAGCATGTTTCACTGAGCTTAAAAATGAATTATAAGAAACAAGGATTAAAAAAAATAATTTTGTCAATCTCCGATATTAAAAATAAGTTGCTTATTTTTATAGTAAAAGAATTACTTTCAACTAAAATAATTTTTCTTACTTAAAAATAAGTATTAAAATAAATAATTTAATGTGTTAAGAGGTAAAAGGTTGTTTAAAAGTCAATTTACTTTATTAAGTTTTAAGGTTAACCAAACATGCTTGATTAACTTTTTTATTTTCTTACTTATAAAAATGTTACTTTTATTCAAAAGTTACTATTATGTCTTAGCTTAATTTTAAAATAAGTAACTTTAATATTTCCAACTTTTATCGCTAAAAGAATACCTATTTCAGTATTTACTTATAAACTTTTCAAACTTTTAGCCAAACCTAGGCAACTAAGCTCAGTAAGGAGAATCCGCTCCCATGAGGTCAAATCATAGGCCACCACCGCAACTTACTGATGCCCCACCACATCGTCGATAGCCACCATTACCCGGTTCCTCGGCCTCTTTATCCCAGCGTCTTATGTTAGAATTTGACACAGTATAATTTTGTGAATGAAGAATAATTCTCATTGATTTGAATGAACGTCTTACAATGCCTATTATAATAAAAGAGATTGTTTATAATAAGTAGATATCCTAATCTAGGAATGAAAATCATCATAGAATAAAGCAATATAACTAACAAGGAAACAAATGTCTAAATATGCAAGTATTTAATACTCTCCCTCAAGTTGGAGTATGGAGATCTGTAATACCCAACTTGCGAGTGAAATGATGGAAAAGATCCTTGCCAAGAGCCTTTGTGAAAACATCACCCAATTGGTCCTTAGCAGACACGCGAGTAGGAACAATGATATTTTTCACGGACGTAGTGACAATCGATTTCAATGTGCTTGGTGTGTTCATGAAACACTGGGTTACGTGAAATGTGGAGAGCAGCCTCATTGTCACAAAACAGCATGATATGTTGCGGGTGTAGAACGGCAAGGTCATGTAAAAGGGACTTGAGCCAGACAAGTTCACATGTGGTTGTAGCCATTGCACGGTACTCAGCTTTGGCAGAGGAGCGATAAACAGTTGATTGTTTCTTCGTGCGCCAAGAGATAGGACTAGTTCCAAGTGTGATGAAAAAACCAGTGGTGGAGCGACGAGTGGTAGGACAACTCACCCAATCAGAATCAGAGTATGCAGTAAGCCGAAAATCACTCTGAGTATAATAAAAAAGACCATGAGTTGGAGTGCCCTTCAAATACCGTAGAACATGGAGAGCAACTTGATAATGAGGTTCTCGAGGGCTTTGCATGAATTGACTCAACATGTTGACGGAGAAGGAGATATCTTGACGAGTAATAGTATATAGAAGGCGGCCCACTAACCGATGATATATTCTGGGATCAGAAAATAAATCACCATCATCAGAAGTAAGTTTCAAATTCTGCTCCATAGAAAAAGAGGTAGGCCGAGATCCTAAATTGCCAGAATCTGCAAGAATATCCAACGAATACTTTCTTTGGTTGACAAAAACTCCAGATGAAGATCAAGCAACTTCGAGACCAAGGAAATATTTCATTTTACCCAAATCCTTGATTTTAAAATGGTTATCAAGGGATTTTTTGAGAACAGTAATGGCAGAGAAATCATTGCCTGCAACCAAAATGTCATCAACATAAACTAGAACCACAATTAGAGATGAGCCAATAGTTCTAGTAAAAAGTGAGTGATCAACAATAGACTGAATAAAACCATCAGATAATAAGACAAAAGAAAACTTCGAGTACCAATTTCGAAAGGCCTTCTTAAGACTATAGATAGACTTAAGTAAACGGCAAACACGAGTCTCCCCTTGTTGACCATACCTGGGAGGGAGCGTCATATAGACCTCCTCCTCCAAATCACCATGAAGAAATGCATTATTAACGTCAAGTTGATGAAGATGCCAATTGCGGGCTACGACAATAGCTAAGACATAACGAACAGTAACAAGTTTAGCCATTGGGGCAAAGATATCATGGTAATCAAGGCCCTCTACTTGAGTATATCCCTTAGCTACCAACCGAGCCTTATGTCGTTCGATAGAACCATCTGCATGGAGCTTTGTTCTAAAAACCCACTTACAACCAATAGGTTTCTTGTCAGGAGAAAGGGGTGTAAGAATCCAAGTATTATTAGCTTCAAGGGCTCAAATCTCAATCTGCATCGCATCACACCAATGGGGATGCTGGACAGCTTGAGAATATCGAGTAGGATCAGAGGATTTCGATAAAGAGAATAGGAAAGCGAAGTGGTTAGGTGAAAATTTATGATATGAAACAAAATGAGATAAGGGATAAGCCGTACTCGAAGATGCATCAAGGTTAGCGGGAGGCGTTATGGATGAAGATGATGGTAGTGTAGGGCAAATATTGTCAGCTAGATGAGGAGGACGTTGTATGGTACGTCGAGGGCGAGTGGGAGGAGAAGAGGGCGGATGAGGAGGGGATGATACTGGCGTAAGAGGAGGCGGTAATGCTGGCGAAAGAGGAGGATCAGTGATGGAAAGAGGTAAGACTAGGGGTGACGGGGAAGGTTGGGGTTGTAGTTTGAAGGGGAAAACATGTTCGATAAAAGTGACGTCCCTAGATATGATAATTTTCTTGTCCTCTAAGTCATAAATTTGGTATGTGCTATGAGAAGGTGGATATCCTAGGAAAACACAGGGACAAGCATGGGATTGGAACTTTTCACGGTGAGCAGAAGTAGTGTGGGC